TATTATTTTTTGTTATCTATGGGCGGGGTGGTGTGTCTTTCACAGGTCACGGGAGGGATGTTTTGTTCTATATATACATGAGGGATGGGAGGTATTTTGTCTTAGTTTTGTCATGTTATTCTTGTTCTTGTTCTTGTTCTTGTTCTTGTTCTTGTATTTCTCCTTTGTTTCTCATACATATATATATACAGTTATCTCTTCATTATACATATATTCATTCGCTTTCCACATTCTCATTTTCGAGGATGCGCGTTGGGTTTCTCTGTTATTTATGTATATATTATATTCTTGCGGTCTCTCTTTTGATTTTAAAACTGTCTTACCTGGTTTTAGATTCTGTTTTTTCCTCATCATCATTTTCCTAGGGGCCAGTCAGTTCCTTGAAATGGAATTATACACACACACACACACACACATCTATAAGTTTCACTTGCTCTTAAAAGGAGAGGGTATATAGATATAGCTAGATCCCGTCAAAACCCATAGTATCACTGCCCCCTGAGGCTTCATGTCTGTAGTTTGGGCGAGAAGGCCGCCAGCTAGGCCCCCTTTTCCCAAACAGCAGATTTTCATTTGATTTGATTACACTGGTCATTTTCTCAAGCTACTCCGTCTCTGGCCTAAAGTGAGTGGAAACCGGAATGTCATTCATTGCTCAGGATAATTTAGATGTCATATGATTGATTAATTATCTCCAGGTCAATCAATGTTTGTGTATAGTTTAGATTTTAATCATCTTGACTTTGACCCTTCTATGCTTGGGTTCCCGCAAGTATGGAATGGAAAAAGGTTTATTTATAAGGAAAAAAAAAAGGGAGGGGGGAAAGAAATAAAATAGTTAACTACCCTTCCCGCTTATATAGAACAGAATGCAAGAGGGGTTTCCGGTCTAAATCGCTATACAAACTATGAAAAAATGAAACATAAACATCACTACGTAAAAATGGAAAACCCGCTAAAGATTTCAATCAAAGAAACACCCCCCCCCCCACCCATGCCTCATATAACATACGGGGCCCCATCCATAAAATCCCACAAAACAAAACAAAACACCCCTACGAAAACCTAACCCCCAGACTCGCATCCCACCTCCCAGGCATCGGCATCTGCATCTGCTGCCCCTCCTCCGCCTGCCCCGGCACATTCATCTGCGCATGTGACGCCGGCGGTCCAAACTTGATCCCCATCTCCGGTGACCACATGCCTCCCACGGGCATGGTGCTTGGTGGTGGGATTATGGAGGTGCGGGTTGGTTGTGGGGCGGCGAGGGGGCTTTCTGGGGGTTGTGGTTGTGGTTGTGGTGCTGGTGATGGTGCTGGTGCTGCTGGTTGTTGTGATGAAGGGGAGGAGGAGGTGGTGGTTGATGGGGTAAAGGGGGTGTGGCTTGGTGTCGAGGAGCGGGTGGATTTCAGCGGCGATTTTTGGCGAGGGGTTTGAATGGGTTGACGGTGGTGGTGGAACGGTGGGGATTGGTGGTGCTGGCGCTGCTGCTTTTGCTGCTGCTCATGTTGGATGGCTGTATTTGCTGCTGCTATGGCTGCTGGGGGTGAAGTTGTAGGTGCGGCTTGTGGAGAGAATGGATGTTGTTTCTGCTTCTGTGAAATGCTCAGCGAAGCCATTGCAGTGGTATTCGTAATGTCCCTATTTCATCGCCTTTGTTAGTCACTTCACATACCAATAAAGCACCCAGAAAGCGAAAAGAATTGAAAACGAAAAAAAGAGGACAAAAGGTGAAGAACAACTCACGTCTCCAACTCCCCAGCCTCCACCCTCCTTCCACTAACAAATCCCCTACAATCCTCCCGAAACCGCCCCACCAACTTCGCCAAATCGTTATAAAACTTCCGCCCAACCTCCACATTTCCAATAATCTCCTTATACCGCACATACCCATTCTCCAACTCCTGCAACGCCTTCTCGCGTTCTTTCGTCGACGAATAGCCCCGGCGCGCATTTACGAAGGCCCGATTCGCCTCGCGCAACTGCTCCGCTATCGCCGATTGGGCTTTCTCTTCCTCTTCCAGGAGCAACTTGCGATCCTCATCATATTGTTTCAGACGCTCTGCAAAGAGGTCTTCGAACTGGCTGGCTTCGATGCGCTGCATGGGAAACTCACGTTCAAGACGGCCTGTTTCTTTGAGGAGGGCGGCGTCTATTATAGCAGTTAGCGAAATGGAGGTATAACCTCAAAATAAAAATAACAGGAGGAAAGGGGGAAAAATCACATACGAATACTATCCCCCCTCGCCTTCTCCCTCAGCGCCTCAACCCTCCTCCTCCTCCGACTCTCCAACCTGCTCACCTCATTCAAACACCCCCTCAACCTCCCGGCCTCCCTCTCAACCGCCTCGGTGATAGTCGCCTTGCGACTACTCGGCACAAACGCCTCGATATCCCGATTCGTCCCCGTGAGGAGCCGCAACACCTTCTCCGTCTCCCGCAACTTCTCCTCAACGAGCTTGTCACTGTTCGCCGCAGACGCCAGGTAGCCCTCGATATCCTTTGCCTGCGTGTATAGTTTCTTGCCGGCGACTTCGGACGGCTCGCGCGTCCATCGATCCGTGCCGTATTTGGCGCGGGCGCGGTCGTCTTCGTCCCGTTCGGCCATGAGCAGTTCGACGCCCTCGGTGTATATGGTCTTGTCGTTTTCTTTGAGTTTTGCGATGTCCTTCAGAGAGAGCCGGAGCCGGTTTAGGCCGTCCTGTTGGCGTACCTCTTCAGCGTGGGATAGTAGTGATGGTGGAAGACCTAGGGGTTTTTCAAGAGCCTGTAGTGAGCCCGGGAGATTGAGGGATTGAAGCAGCCTACATCGATATTAGTTAGCCAATGGAACATCACTATACGATACGCCCGTATTAGTATTATTATGACATACCCCCTAAGCTTAGCGGTCATTTCCTCCACTCCGCCCGTAATCTCCTGCTGCACAAGCCTATCTCTCCTCTCCGCGTAAATACTCGCCGCAACATGCACCGCATACGGCACCAACTTAGCAAACAAGGGCCTCCCCAACGGCAGCCCTTCCCCAATCATCGAGAGCGCATCCGTCACCTCCACCGGCGCCTTCGCAGCAACCATACTCGCGCGATCCAGCAGCTTCAGCTCCGACTTGGGCGGCACTGGAAACAAATAGATCATATCATTATCGCGTTCCGCCCGCTTCAAATCCTCCGTCACACGCGCCTTCAGCCCGTTCAGGTCCCCCAGCACCACCGGGTTAATCCACTTGGCCCCCTTCAACGCCTCGTTCACACACATCGCGCTATCGCGCAGGCGCGCAATCTCCTCGCCATACTTCTGCTTCTCCAGACAGTCGCGCGACTGCCGATATTGCGCCGCCGCGGCGAAATGGTGGTGCTTGGCTGTCATGTGGTGGATCCACTCGGTGTTGATGGTGTCGGATTTGATGCCGTAGTCGCCGGCGTTCGCGTAGAGGTCTGACACCTTCGCCGCAAGGCGGGCTATGGAGGCATCTTTCAGCCCGTCCTTGACGGCCTTTTGCCAGAAGCATTCCTGCGCCTGCGCGAGAAGGAGCTCTTCGAGGCTGCGCAGGGTCATCTCGTCCATGTCTTCTGGTGGGGAGGAGCGGAGGTCAGGCAGGATGTCTGTGCGTAGGTGGACGAGGACGCCGGCAGCGTTGCAGAGGTATTTACAGGCTGTTTTTAGGTTTTCCGGGGTTGTGCTGTTTAGGCAGACGGCGAGTTGGGAGTAGAGGGCGGCGAGGTTGAAAAGGATGTTGGCGAGCTCGAAGCGGAGGTTGTTCTGGGAGACTATGAATGCTCAATTACGTTTTAGTATTTAACAGGAGCAGACGCAAAAGCGTTAAGAAGAAGAAAAAAATACGAATAACTCACTCGGCCTCGACGTATTAAATCCAAGAGCCGGATACCACGAAAAATCCACGCCGACCTACACGTCGCGCATCAATTCAATCATATCAGTAAAACGTCGACTCCCCCAACCCCCTGAGCCCAGGGACAACTCCACAATCACTAGAAATACAAACAAAACACATACATCAATCGGAAACTTCCCCCCCAACCACTTCAACTGCGCCGCATATGTCACCAGCCGACTGATGCCACTAATATGCGGTTCTTGGACGTTAATCGCATCCGTCCGTAGCCTATCGATGATCAGGAGGTCCTCAGCAAACATCTCGGGCCGCTGGTCATATTTGTTCGAGATGTATTGCTTTATGGCGGTGGAGAGGGAGATGGGGTGGCTGCGGCGAAGAGGGAGGGGGAGGATGTTTCTGTATATATATATATATTTTTTGTTAGCTGGTGTTTAGAGTGTTTAGAGGAGGAGGAGGAGGGAGTAGAGGGGGGTAGAGAGGGTAGCGGAGAGGGGACCTCAATCGAGCGCGGGCACTTACGATGCCATGATTTATTTTCTATTCTATGTCTCTGTGGCTGGTATAGCTTCATTTGTAAAAGGGTGTATGGAAAGAAATGCACTTCTTGTTGAAGCTGCTCTCCTCACTGCTTTGACTGTCTAAGGTTAATGTTGAATCTTGTCAAACATCAGGCTGCGATATGCAACTTTTGACAATCAAACTATGAAGGTTCATCTCAAAAGTTCTTTCTCACACAAAAAATGCATCAAAGTATAATGTGAAGATTAAGCGTTTGATGCTTGTATTCTATATTACAATTATATTAACCTATACGGAGTACACTCTTAATTATTAGAATAAAATAACTAGATATATGCATGACACGGTGAATGGGAGGCCAGAAACAGCCGCTTTTGACGCCGTTTTTAGGCCGCTCGCTCACCGAGGCCGTCTTGGCATCACGTGTGTCAAAGCCCAACAACCCCCATCGGATTATTGATCGACCGCCGATGTTCCATGTTTCCATTCATGCCGCATGCCGCCGCAGCGAACCCATCCTCCTCGTTCAACCCCTCAGTCAAACCTCCTGGGGGAGGGGAGCCATTTTTGTCTCCCCTGTTGACCGTTCTGCTTCCCTGAGTTCCCATAAATATCGACCACCATGGCTCCCGACCGACAGTCCTCCCTCGCTCTCCAGCAACTCCTCCAGGCCCAGGTCTGCGTTTCCAACGGGTGACTTGCTCCAAGTGAAATAATATCAACCTCGATCATTCTCTCGTGCTTCGTCTCCTCCTTGCCCCTCCTGCCTCCTCTTCGATCGCTCACTGCGTTCCGCCGCCATGCCCTGCTTCTCCGTGTCCTGTTCTCTCCGACGATGAGAGTGACACTAGCTCAGGCCTGCCCAAGATCTTCTTGAACAACGCCTCCGACTCTGATTCCTCCACCGCACCTAGCGACTTTGACTATAGCAGCGAACCCGAGTCCGAGTCAGACGACGAGTCCGAAGATGAACTGGCACTGGAAGATGAAGAGGAACAACTTTCACCAGAATACTACCTCCAGGAGGCCGAGTCTCTGGATGTCTCCCAGCTCCGACAGAAACGCTATAGCCCGAAAACTCAAGAGAGGTTGGATGAGGCGCAAGATTTCTGGGATAGGTGGGACATCACTGCAGCATCCTCGCATACAGGCCTTGGGTCGCTGATTGTTCTAGGTTCTGTAAAGGCGCAAAGCGCGATCCGGTGGAATGTCTGTCCTGTCTCTCTGAGACTGAGGAGACAGTCCGCTTCCTTAAGGCTCTCTTTTCCTGGCGGTGTGACCAACGACGGGGGAAGGATGGACGTCGTACCCCGGGACTGAAAACCAAAAGCTCACTCGACGCATTCTGGAAGTGGTGGCATCTGATCTACAAGGCCGAGGTTGGACATGGCCTCAGCAAAGATATTGAAGTGATGTAAGATCCCGATTGGGTATCGATATCGGCATGGATTGTACGCGACTGACGTTCCATAGGTGCACGCGATAGTTGCGACGGAGAAGAAACTTTCCCTCAAAAAGCGACCGAAAGCGACCATGTTTATCGAGGATGTGGCTGAGTTTGCCCGAGTGATCCTGACCACGACAGAGATGACTTTCCTTTATGGCTGGTACCGTATACAACTCCTCCTTTTCTGCCAGCTGGCCGCTATCACCGGTAGCCGTCCCGGGGCGCTACTGAAACTTCGCTTCGTGGATCTCAAGTTGACATTAATTCGGGATCCGAAGGGAGGGCGTCCTCGACTTTTCATCTACCTGAGACCGGAATTCACAAAATCATTTCTTGGCGAAAAAGAGTCGTAAGAACATCCCCTCACTAAGTTTTTCCTTCTGCCTCCTTCAGCCACATGCCTCTCAGCGCTCTTTTACTTATCATTTTCAATCAGAGACACGTTCCCGATTCCAGAAATTATCTTTGATCCCACGTTGGTCCTCAGTCCTCATGTTTTCCTGCTGGGCATGCTGTTTAGAATTGGCGCATTTAAAAGTCTGTCCAAAGACGGCCCTGTGGCGGATTGTCCCGAGAAATTGTATAACCTTTGGGTCCTAGATGGCCTTGGTGAGCAGGAACTGAAGCTCAAGGACGAACTTCTCGATCAGCATGTGTTCTGCCAGGCACTGCGAGAGGCTGATGGGATTTGAATCGAACCGGAAGAGGAACTTTCTAGGGGATGGTTGAGTTACAGAATGAAATGAGGTGGTGAGATTACGGGCTTTGCGGAAGCCGCGAAGCCATATTGTCTTCGATACGGTGCAGCAAAAGCGCTCAACGATAGTCGTGAGTGACCCATTGCGATTATAGAATTTTTGGCTAATACATTCCTCTCAACAAGCGGATGTATTGAATGAATTGCAGAACGTGATGCTGCAGCACGCCAGCATTGATACTTTTGTCCGGCACTACAGTGTGGGTATCCACGTAGATGCGCAGGCAATTGTCCGGGGCTTGCCCGCTGAGAAACAGCTCATCCAGTTTGCCTGCTCGATGAGTCGGTCCATTGACCCTCGCAGACCCTACCGGCTTGAGGATTCGAGCTGCATCAATGATATTCCCCGCGTGTGTGCCCTGGAAGACAGGAAGCAAGCGAAAAAGCGGATTCAAGACATTAAGATGCGCACCTATGAGAATGCCCAGGCCGCATTACAACAAGAGTTCGGTGATAATCCACAGAGCGCGTCTCTTTCCAGAACCGTCCGCAAGCGGAGGGAGTCTCAAGAGAAAAGTGTGAAAAAGTTACATCAGAAATTTGATCATGCAGATGAGCAGTATGATCGCTCAGTGAAGCAACTATGAAACAAGAAGAGACGGCAAAAGCACCGCCTGATTCGTGAGAATCTGGAGCAGTACAAGAACGAGCAGCCAGTGATCAACAGTGAGCAGCAGCTTGCCGGGAAAGTTGTTGACAAAGAAGTTATGGGTGCGTTGCAGCATACTGGTTATATGACAATGCAGCATATGACACTTATTGACAGTATCCTGACTATGCCGGGTACGACGGTCAAGAAAGAATACGAACGCCGAATTGCCGCAATCAATGCAGTGATTGCAGTCTGTGATGCGGAAGAGGGTGCTCCCTCGCGGCCTGGTGCGTCGCAAAAACACCCTGTCAATGCTGTTGATATACTACCTGCTGCCCCCCTGCCTAAGAGACAGAAGTCTACCCCTTCAGATAAGAGTGACGATACTTTTTCTCGAGCCGTCGCTTCTGTTTGCGTCAAATCTCTAGAAGAGAGACCAAAGATATGCTTCATTTGTCTTGGTAATGCTAGACTGCCAGAAGGCGAACGCCTGAGAATGTACAAGAACCCCGGGTCCCTCAGCCGACACTTCGTCAACAAACATATCAAGCCGTTCCCAAATGACATGCACTGTGAGTGCCAAGTTTGCGGGGAAAAGCTGATATCAAAATCGGGACTACTGAACCACGCGGAAAGAGTGCATGGAACTGTCTCCTGCTTACCTTTACCAGCTCTTGGCCTACCCCTCCCATAACTAAATATTAGATGTTTCTTTGTTTCTCTCTTTAAACTGTGTCTTACAAACCGAGGTCAAGCGTGAACATGCTAATATCTGATCGCATAATTATTGGTTTTGTGAGAAGGCCACAATGACCACTCGTAGCCAAGATATCTAATAACGAGTCATAGTAATAAAATCAGAGCAATAATATGATCGTCAAACTGTAGCACTCTAGCTGCGCCGAATCTTCTTATAACGGCGAGCATTCGGATCTCCATCTACTCCATCCAAATGTCCCCCCCGCCAATTACGGAGGCCAGAACTTCACTCAGTAGTTTACTGCGAGGCTCTTCAGGAATGTAGTCTTTTCTCAGCGGTTCATCCGGTACTCTTCCACACTTCTCACAATCCTGAGAACTACCCTCATGAGCCTCGAATTGATGGGTTGATCTCCACCGTGCTAGCTTTCCGCTCCCACTTGGTATGTGCTCTATGGAATCGATCGTATTTGTTCACTTCGAATGTACGGCCCTTATAGCGGTAGTCTACTAGTCAAGGTTAGTGAGGCATGTCAGGGTCTCTAAGTGGAGTGGACTTTCTCATTATCACCACAACATTACTTTTCATCAAGAATGAATATATTTGTAGCTTCAATCTCTTGGTGTATTAGAATCCCCCTCTTTATCTATATATATATATATATAAAATAAAAAAAAATAAAAATAAATAAAAGATTCTCTGCATCTCTCATATTTATTAATTCAATATTTATAACTTCTTGATCTGCATCATGAATTTCTTGAGTCTCTGGTTGTTGCCTGAAAGAACAGGTTCTCAGGTCAGATAAAAGTTATTCAACTCAAAAAACTGAGTTGAATGAGTTCAGAATTTTTTGATATAATTAGTGTGGGAATTATCAGTTGAATTGTCTTTTTGAAACTGTATATTCTGCACCAGCCGTGAATCGAACACGGACCTCTTGCTTGGAAGGCAAGAATCCTGACCATTGGACCACTGGAGCTGTATTGATTGGAAATCTTATTCAAAAGAACGGTTTGAAAAGCAAAAAGAAATGGATAAGAAAAATACAAAAATGGACAAAAATAAGAAATCCTAGTTTTGCACCAGCCGTGAATCGAACACGGACCTCTTGCTTGGAAGGCAAGAATCCTGACCATTGGACCACTGGAGCTACTTCGATTGGAGGTTTCTCCAACTCTCTAACCCAAAAGCTCGAATTTGGGCGGATGGTATATATCGGTGCCGGTAGCCGCATTCAATAATGATCTGGAGGACACGGATTTTTCTACGGGACTAATAAATAGATGATTTTTTAGTGAATGCATCTCAGTTAGTTATGCGAGGGCGCACTCTCCAAGGTGCCTCAACTAGTTAATGATCAAACTTTTCACCCAATGCTTTGCTACTACTAGTTACTAGTTACTCCTCAAGGTTTCTAATAATAATCACTTTAAAAAAGGCTCTCTTGCGCTTCAAAGAGCCTTGCAAAACAAAACATGTCATATGATATACCCCTCAGTGTGCAGGGCCAGCCTGCGGCTCACCATCGCCACCAGACATCACTAGAACAAACCCTTAACTTTTCTCTCATATCTTTGACTGCTTCAGAACGAGTGGATGCCGAGATCATCTTTGATCAGCTGATGGAGCATTGCGAACCTTTGCAGAGAAAGAATCATTACAAGACTGTCACCCTGGTGCGCCTGACATATGAGCATTGCCAGTCAAAGGATACATTTTTAAAGCAATTCTTTATCTTTATTGATAATGATATCTCAAACCAAAACAGACCACCACCAACCTTTGAACATGGTCTATCACATTTTCATGGCTTCAATGGCCAGACTGCTTCGCCATCTCTCAAAAAAAAGGCAGAAGGGGTAGTGGATTCATTTGCAGAATACCTTTTCCAAAACTTTTTCCTGCCATGTATGTGAATCACATCCATCTGGTGGTTCTTTGTGTGTGATATTCTTGTTGACTTGACTTGGCCCATGTTGTAGTGAAGGCAGCAGGGTCAAAGACACCACAGCCAACCCCAGCTGCATTGTCAGCTCCTTCACTTGGGAATGTTGTTGGAGCACCTGCGAGACTGTCAACTCTTCGCCGCGATTGTTTAATTCGAGACCATAACCGATGTGTAGTCACACAGGCATTCAATCTACATGAAGCTAAGACCAGGGATCGGCTTCATGCGAACCCAAAGGATGACGATGATCAGCCACTGAGTTTCGGACGAGGCGATGTTGATGAACTCGAGGTTGCGCACATTATACCCCATTCCATACTGTCAGCAAAGTTTATTGATGGAGAGCTGCAGTTGGTATGTTTGCGAACCTTTTTCACTAAATATTTCACATCCTTTGCCCCTTACCTAATATTACTATGAAATGCGGTGTTGCCATCTTCTAACCAACTCCTTTTCAACTGTTAGAGCGAATCTAAGAAAACCGCCCTGTCAGTTCTCAGCATGTTTGACCCAGGTGTCATTCCTCTGATTGAAGGGTCAGGTATTGATCATCCAACCAATGCTATCACCTTGTCAAAAAGTGTTCATACCCAATTTGGTCTTTTCGAGATCTCTTTTGAAGCCATGGATTCGTCAAACCACCCTCAAAATACTTATACAATACATTCGTCGAGCCGGGTGCTTTCCCAACTCTACAATCTTCCGGTTACAAGAACTCTGCTTCTCTCACCAAACCTTACAATTGATCCACCTTCTGCAAAACTACTTGCCATTCATCGTGCAATTGCTATCATTATTGCACTTAGCGCCGCTGGGGAATATATGGATCAGATACTTCGTGACATGGAAGAGGTGTGGGTGAGAAGTGATGGCGCTGCGGAAATGGGGCGCATCGTCTCTTTGAAAATCGGCGGCTGGCTTGATAGCGTGGTAGCTTGATGGTTTTTTTATGAACCGGATATGTCGCCCAAAGTGTTTGCTGGGCTACTTATCTCTCAACAAATCGCCGGTGGAAAGGCTCCGGAGCTGAAGATTGGGTTTGAGAACTTTTCAATTACGGGGTAGTCTGGAATCTCGACATGACTGCGGGAACTAATTGGGGCACACTCTATGCATTGAGAACAAAGCTGGCTTCAGAAACCATGTTATTGACCACGCAGCTAAGCATATGCTAAACTGATGGGAGGCGTTCACTAACTTCTCCACGTCCTGGGGCCTTCCATCTAAGGCCGGATTGGCCAGAACCCCTCCTTCTGGCTCGGCCGCAAACGCCGGGGCGTGATGGAGCGAAAGATGAAAGAGGGACGGTGAGATGGTGATTCCATGAATACCTCACCCAATTATCCTGGCGCTTGGAAAGACTATTTAGGCAAACAACAGAAATGAGCAGCAAGAATCAGAGACCATTCACTGGAAGCACTGGAAGTTTTGAGAAGAAGGGATGGCCAGCTGGGAAATAAAGGTCATTCTAAAGAAAATGTGATGGTCTGACCTATATGCATCAAGGGATTTCCATGTCACCAGCATTGTCCCCAGGCTTTAGATGTCAGTGTGTGAATATGGTTTTGGGATAAGATGTTAATTACATCTTGCCATATGTAGCCTGTAGTAATGAGCTTCCCTACGCATAAGTGTTGATGATTCCCTTCCTTGACTGCTTTACCACTGTGATCTTGTCTGCATCCTTCATAAGGTTGGTGTCATGCCTAGAATAAACATTAGTTGTGGAGGAGTAGCCAAATTCTGATAATAGAGACGACTCACAATATCATATTACAATGGCTGTTTGACCTCTAGTGCACCTTAGCATGTTATGTTGAATCTGGGCAGCTGCTTTATTACCAAGATCATTTGTAGGCTTGTCCAGAATAAGCAGTGATGCATTTTTAATGAAAGCATGGGCAATAGCTAGTCGCCATTGCTCTCTACTGGAGAGTTTATTAGCTTAGTATCATACCAGTCAGAGTATTTGAGGATCTGATCATGGACGGCTGCAGCCCTGCATGCCTCATGTATGTCTTCATCACTGGTGGTGTTGGGGTTTGATGTATTGAATATTGCCTGTAATTCTGTAAATCAAAAAAACCAGGGCACGGAGGAAGCCAGTGCAAAATTCTCTTGTACAGTTCCCAGTCTCACTCTCGAGATATCCTTCCTTTCCCACTATTCTCGCAAGAGTAGTTTTGACTTCCCAGTTCCAGTTGTTCCAACGATCACTGTGATTGACCAACCTTCTATAGTTAATAGTAGTAGTAGCATCAAACAACTGTTGGGGAGTTTTTCATGTGCGACATATGCGCTAACCTGCGACCCCCGTTCCGAGGCACCGAGGGAACTTCGTCGGGCTCAACCAAACTCCCAAACTCCCCGCAACCAACCAGCAACAGCGTCCAGCGTAACGGGGACAAGGGAGACGGCTAGCTAGCTATATATCCCCGCAGACATACGCTGTACATAAGTACATAAATACCCGCCGCTCTCTTCTTTCCTTCATCCCCGTTAATTATTTGCTGTCTTACAGCTAGGTAGTTAGTTACCTCTCTTTCATTTAAAACTTCATTGTTCTTGTTTTCATCCATTCAACAAGGGAAACCCCCCCCTTGTAAGTAACCAGCACATAAACAAATTACACTATACAAACACTATACAAACAAATAAAGATGGCCAAAAAACAAGCCGGTCCCGCCTACGTCCTCGGCGTGGGCATGACCAAGTTCATCAAACCTCGCGGTAAAGTCGACTATCACGAGCTCGGCTTCGAGGCCGGCGTCAAGGCCATGTTGGACGCCCAGATCAGCTACGACGACGTCGACCAGGGCGTGGCGTGCTACTGCTACGGAGACTCTACCTGCGGCCAGCGTGTCTTCTACCAATTCGGCCTCACCAGCATCCCTATCTATAACGTCAACAACAACTGCTCCACAGGGTCTACGGGCCTGGCCATGGCGCGGACGATGGTCGGGCACGGCGCTGCGGACTGCGTGCTCGTTGTGGGCTTTGAGAAGATGAACCCGGGCAGCCTCCAGGCGAACTTCAATGACCGCGCGAACCCCACCGGACTCTTTGGTGACATGATGGCGGAGACTCGCGGCGTCACTAATGCCCCTGGCGCGGCGCAGATGTTTGGAAATGCTGCTCTTGAGTATATGGAGAAGTGAGTTTACTCCCGCCCAATAACACAATAACTGTGACTGTCCCTCGTTTTTTTTCTTCTCTTTTGATACTGTATACTAACCAAAATCCAACTCAATCCAGATACGGCGCCAAAGCTGAAGACTTTG